CAGTTCGATATTTATTGTATTAACAGTAGAACTCACTGCCAGAATTTCTTTAAAAATTTCAAAATACTGGCTCTTCCTTCTTTATTCATTTTTGAATCCGTTTGCTTAATCCGCAAGCACATATCTGCTGTTCCCGAAAGCCCATCTCATAACTATCCACTTAGAAATGTTAGTTAAGAACTAGTTAAAAGTTCAATACTGTACAATGCCAAAAAAATGTACAATCATCTGCCTTTGAATATCAAGCCGCTTTCATTCTTTCCCACATTTCGCAAAGCTCTGAAATCATGTTTACTGGAGAGAGCCCTATAAAAAAAACGACTTTTTTGTTAATGTTTAATCATGAACAATTTTGAATTTTAAGATTTTGATCATCTCACACACTGGTCAAAGGTCAAATATTTAATATTTTATAACTCTTAAAATTATATCTATTTACAATCTTCCTGTTGTAAAATTTTATTGATACGCCTTTTTTTGTGTTCTGCAATTGTCCATGTTCTATTTGTAATTTTAATGACTTGAATTTTTTTGAATTGTATGATTTGTAATGTATATTTTTTTGTGCTTTTGTTTGTTTTGTAAAAAAGGCTTTGCCGATGAAGCTATTTTGGCTTTTTGCACAATAAAGCGTTATTTGTTGTTGTTGTTGTTATTCCATAGTCTTGGCTCAAGTACTGACCCCCGTGGCACTCCGCTGCCTACGTTAATCTGCCTTTTAGCACCATGTTAGTCAGGGACAATATATCCCATTTCTGCATTTCGTCCAGAATGATCTGCCTCAAAGCACTGTTGAACGCATTTTTCACATCTAGAGTAATTACTGCGCATAATTTTCTGTTATTTGGAGCATAATCTGATGCTTGTCTGGCAGAATTGAGGGTTACTGAGATGATCGCTTTTAATGCTACTTGACTTCGGATAAGATGTCTATTTCTTGTTTCCGATAGTTCCTATCTAAGATAATTTGTACGCATCTTTCGATACCGTAGATTTCTGTCTGAAGGAGAAGGATGCTGGGGTAGGTGCGGAGTATTTAGTTTTCGGACCAAATACTCTATATCTCTGTTCCTGCTTTGGTTTTGGAAGCATCAGCATACCACATTATGGTATGGTCTTTTACCTGCTGAGCAAACGTTTCTCTCCTCCAATCCTTTTTATTACTCAATACTACAGTGAAGTTTTTTTCAAAGATGTACATTCTTGTTATGTCATTGTCTAGCACATTCAAAGGAACGTCGAAAATAATTGATCCAAAATAATTTGTTTATAAATAATTCAGGTCTCTAGGTGAAATCCCGCGAACAGGTACCTACCATATTATATACGGTCAAAAGTAAAGGTAAATATTATTGTAATGGCATAGCTAACGGCTCATTGTAATTATACGTTACGGATTGTAATTAGCGGGCTAAAACTGGGAGCGGTGATGCATAATAACACCGCTGCTACTATATCAAGTGTATATTTTGTTGCTGGTGCGCGTATTAAAGCCGGTTGCCAGTTTAGGGGAGAGATTATGTGCGCGAACAAGTTTATCTCATTTAAATGGATCGATTAGTTCATGAATTTAAACAGTTTAGCTTTATAGTTATTTTTCGGGTTGCTTTAATTTAATAATGGTAGGGATTCCGTGTGGGTCCTTATACACGTCATAGATGACGAACTTTTTAGAAATCCGAAATAAAATATCCATGTTCGTATACCGGGTGGTTTTCAAAAATGGCTCACCCCTATAACTTTTTATATGTTTAGTTAAAAAACGAGATTTGATATTATCGTAAATCAGGACTGATTGACGTATTCAATTAGTTTCGGTCACATCCTGTTTCACCGTAAATTATTTTAGCTTTTTGTTTTTAATTGGTAGTAGCCTGGGTATTTTTTTCACTTTACTTGATAGAAATTGATATTCTGAACAGAATGACATATCATAATAAAACTTTTTTGTATTCTCGCTTAATGAAATTAGTATTGATGTTTCAATCTAGAGTGATATGACAATAAATAAATGTCCTGCCATTGCCACTTGATTTGATATTGTCGGTCTTTTGTCGTATTTAATTTATTTTAATATTTTGTCTCATCTGGTTATTCCCAGCATATTTCGTTCCATTGAGCGTTGTGCGACCAGTTTCCTTATAATGTCGGTTTTAAGTGTTCAGGTTTCGCATGCATAGGTCATGACTGGTAGTACACATTGGTCAAATGTTCTCTTCTTTAGATAAAGTGGCATTCTAGGTTTGAATATGATTGAGTTTCTTCCATAAGTACTCCATGCTAACTTAATTCTTCTCTTAATTTCTGGTAGTAGGTTAGGTTAGTTGTCCCAAATATACATATATTCTTCTATTATTTCCAGTGTTGTGTTATTTACTATAATGTCTTTTCTTTCCACTAGTTTGTCGTACATTACTTTAGTTTTTGCTAAATTCATTTTGAGACCCACTTTATTGCTGGCTGTATTTAGTTCGTTAATTTGTGTTTGTAGTTCTTCAGGACTATTGGCTATTAAGACTACGTCATCAGCGAATCTTAGATGGTTAAGATATTCTCCATCCGTACATATACATATAAAAGCTCAAGGGTTTTTTTGTTACATCCATCCCGCCGAAAGCGCTTCACCAATCTTGATGATTCTTTTTTTAAATGAAAGTTATATATGTCTAGATTTGTTATGAAATATTTTTATATTGTTTAATGGCTATTTCTTTGTGTAAAACGACTAATTATAAAACGTACCTGAAAAACACCTACACACAATACCTCCAAAAATAAATTATTTGTCATTGTCAGTGGTGTGTCAGTTAGATTATATATCAAGTTTTTAGATATTTTTGGGGTCAGTTTATACCGCCAGCTATAGATACATAAATATTAGCACAAAGGTTCATTTAACTGACATTAGTGATTAGTGAATTAGCTACGCAAAGCGATTTTAGGAAATTCATCCTCTTAGAATGTAAAATTATGTCGAACAATTTGTTGTATGAAAATTCGGATTAGATCAGTATGAAAAGAGATTTTTGAAATTCATCAACCAAATGGGTAAAGTTAGTAAAAATTTATATAAACCTTCGTGACTTCGTGGATTATACACATAAAAATTTGCACAAAGGATCATTTAAAAGACATGAGTTAATTATTTGGATATAGCGAATTTATGAAATTCATACCCTTGGGGAGTAGAATAGGGAATGAAAGTTTGCTGTACGAAAATGCATTAATATAGCATCTAGAAGTATAAAATTTTATACAAGGGTTTATTCAGTGACATCAATAATATGAACAAAATATTTCTTCTTCAAATCATTCTTCTAGGAATAAAAAATGCCCTTGAAAAATAAAAATAAATCAGAGGTTTATATCAAGAAAAGCGACAATTGGCAACTTTATATGTCGAAGCTGTTTATTTTAGTAATACAGTTTATATGGGACCATAGGTAGGGTTCTATCTATAGAGGGTAAATAGTCATTTCACTATTTATTATTTTCGAGAGATTTTCTTTTTCTTGAAAAGATTTTGCAAAATTTCGACTTTGGTTAAATTTCTAAAACACCCTATACATAATTAAGAAATAAAAAACCACATCCACCTTCTATCCAATCATACATAATTAGTTTCAGTCAATGGAAGTAGTTAGAAAATTTTGAAAAAAGTGTTAAAAAGCAAAATTTCAAAATCATTTTGGGGCCAAAATTGAACTTTGAAATACTTCGATTTCGATAACTGCTAGAATTATTAAGATTATTTAACTTTTTAGATTTTTTTTAGTTAAAAACCATAATTTCTTCATAATATGGCAACATAGGTAGTAGTTTAAATTTACCAGACAAAAAAAAACGAAAAGCTCCAGTGGTTCTCCAAATTAAAGCAAAAAATTGTTTTTTTTGGAAATTTTTAAAGTAAAATAACTCGGTTATTTTGGAGTTATTTGAAAACCGGTAAAGAGAAAATATGTTTCTTTTATCGAGATCTACCACTCTGAAAATATCACTTATTCTAGACTCGCCCTGTATAATACCGAGAAAATCAACAAAAAGAGAAAATATGTTTCTTTTATCGTAATAATCGTAAAGAAAAAATATGTTTCTTTTATCGAGATCAACCAGCCCTGAAAATATTTGCGCTTATTCAAGACTCGCCCTGTATAATACCCAGAAAATCGACAATTGCTAACTTTCATATATGAAATACGAGTAACTCTAAAACTCTTAAAAACATAGTTTAAATATTGCATTTGTAAGGCTCACACTACTCACTAGCTCGATCTACGAGTCGAACATAGTCGCGGGAAAAAGCTAGTCTATTTTTAATTCTTTCCATCAAAAAAGGTCCAGTCTAGTTGACGGAAGATCTCTTCTAGTGTTGCTGCCAAACCAAACCAAACCAAACAGTTTTGAGGATATCGCGTCTCCCTGTCGTTCTCCTTTCCCAGTGGAGAACTCTGGGGTTGTTTTATATATCATTACTTTGGCTTCTTTGTATATATTTGCGAGAGTTTCTATGTAAGGCTTGTCAATACCTTGTTTATTAGTTTATAGAGGTATATTACAAGCAAAAGAATTATGTTGATTCTCCAAAAGGTAGCTAGATTTTTTTCTATATTCTTTTATTTGCTTGGTTAAAATTATATATCGTTGCCAATAATGACGAGTAGAATCAATAGAAACAGTTTTATTTTATTTTTTAAGAATGATTAAGTTGTAAATTTGTATTCTTTTAAAAAGGTGGTTATAAGGTGTAACAGCATCTACGATTTCTTCCTACGTAAAACGGTCATGAAATTATTTATTACAACCATGCCATGTAATACATATAATTACTTTCAATAATACATTAGTTAGCAGTGAAAAACTTTCTCTTAATACCTGGTTTGTTGTTAATAATTTTTTCAGAAAAGTTTGTTAGTCTTTTTATAAAATTATTGAAACTCTTTCTACATTACCTGTTTTTCCAAATCAACAATCAATAATTCAATTTACATGTTTTTTTTCAGAACCAGCCTCCCTTAGCAGCTCCTCGGGAACCGTTACCTTCAGCCACACCAGGTCCTCAAGATGTGGACAATATTCTTAAGGTTAGTTTCAATAATTTAGTATCTGTAATTAGATAGCAAGAATGTGCTCGATTAGGTAACAGCCTTATTAAAAAGTCTTTATAGATAAAGTAATTATACCTTATAATTATAATTAATAAAAACTGAAGGCACAATATCAAATATCAATATTAGTCAATGAGCAATATCAAATATCAATATTAAACTAGGAACAGCTACTTAACATACTTGATATTTGTATTATTGTAATGACTGATGATTGAGTTTTCATTTTTATTTTACAAATCTGTATATTTTTTGAGAGTGCGATTTTTGAACAAATCAAGTAATAATTTTATTTTTGTTTTTTTATGTTCTTTGACCTTTAAAATTATATTTTTATATATGTTTTCTCTTGTTTTTAGGTCAATAAATAATTTTCCTTTTATTTCATTAAGTACATTTATTTTTTTTTATACACCGTCTAACGTTTCGACCGATTTTTTGGCCTTCTATGATCTACGTTCTTGGGTAAGTAAAACAAAAATATTTTTATTGTATTTTTAATGATTTTTAAAATTTGTTTAATGTAATAATTGTAGACTCTGATGAAGGCCAAAAAAATGGTCGAAACGTTAGACGGTGTATAAAAAAAATAAATGTACTTAATGAAATAAAAGTAAAATTATTTATTGACCTAAAACCAAGAGAAAACATATATAAAAAAAGTAATAATTTTATCTAACTTCTTAAATAACAAATACATAATTGAATATAAAATAATGCTTAATAACACGAAGGTTCTCTTTTATATTTTGCATATACCGGGTGCGTCTCAAAAGTGACCCCTATAATTTTTTATTTTTTCAGATAATAAAACGAGATTTGGTATGTTAGTATATGACATAAATTAGGATTATTGATTGACGTATTCATTTGTTTTTGGTCATTTCCTGTTTCACCGTATATTAGTACAACTTTTGATTTTTAAATGAAACCCTCGGTATTTTTTTACTTTATTCGATAGAATATGACACTCTGAATAAAATTACATATCATTATGTCAACTTTTGACATTTTCGCATATGGTTTATTTGATATTGTTGCGGTTCATAACGCCAATTTGACTCGAAGTAGCAAGTGTGTGGTACCAAATTATTCGTAAAAAAATGCTTCTTCCAAATATGCTAATGAACCACCCTTGTTCGATTTGAAAAAAATGAGATATAATATTAAAAATACGAGTTGGGGGGGGGGGGAGCATCTTTTAACCGGCCAGGACAAGACACGAAAAACATTAGAGGGTCAAATGTATTTTTCCAAGGCTCCTTGATTAAAAATTAGTTTTTTTTTAACACAGCCATGGTACTCTCGATTGAAATTTAAAATACGATTTATTTATAAGCGAAAATGTCAAAAGTTGACATATAATATGTCATTCTATTCAGAGTGTGATTTTCTATCGAATAAAGTAAAAATATACCGATGGTGCCATTTAAAAATCAAAAGTTGTAGTCATTTCCGGTGAAACAGGAAGTGACTAAAAACAATTGAATACGTCAACCAATTCTAATTTAATGTCATATACTAATATACCAAATCTCGTTTTTTTCCGGAAAAATAAAAAAGATGTATTTAGATTTATGATGACTTTAGTTAGTATTAGATGTATTGAGTTATGATAGACTTATTTTGAAAATTTCATAGGTCTAAATTTGTATCTACACGCGAAAAAATATACCTACATAAATCTCTGTCGGTACTACCAGCAAATTACAAATGATGCGTTACGATTTTTTCTTACACTCATCTTCCTAAAGATTTCACCTGCCATCATCTTCTTTCGTCGTTTGTCTATTTATCTTAGGTTTTAAATTATTCTGGCATTGTAAAAATGAGGTATAGGGCACCAGCAAACTTCATAAGACGACGCATGGTGTCATCGATGACGTGCAACGGAAATTGTTCCAATTTCCCTATACCTATGAATTATATCAGAATATTTAAAAATAATGAAATATAACTTTTTCAACGCACTTCGTCTCAAATATATGACGACAATCTATTTATTGGTCATTTTGCAATAAACTGAATATTTAACAATCGTTCTATTATATTTTCGGTCTTGACTAATTTCACAAAAATCGTTTTTTCGCGTTTTTTGAGCCTGCGCTGCGGGACCACAGTGCGTCGTTAAGACTAATCCGTCCACGTTTAAATTCTCCATACCAACGAGAAATTGTGGACTAATGCACTGCTTCGTTCCTAAACTGGTTCCGAACTAACTATTATTTCGAAGAATATAATTGAAGGAGTTAGAATCATAAGGGTCTAAGTGACATTTTTTAAAAATATGAGTTTGACCCATATTTTCAAAGTTAAATGTAGTGTTTGTTTGGTAGCAAAGAGATCCAAGTGATTCTGGGACGTTTGGCGCCATCTATTAACCGAGCAAGAGAATTACTAAGTTTTATCGCATTTATTCTTAGTGTCAAAGGGATTGAAGCGCACTTGGACCTATTTGACTCCCAAATTTTTTGCAAAGTTTTGTCACATAGATGCAATATAATTGACGCGTGCAAACCGGCTCTTGTGTTTTTCTGATATTTTGTGTGTTAAAATAAGTAAATAGAAGAAAAACAATTCCGGTAAGAGACTGTATTACAAAAATCATTATTTAAGGTGAGTTTTATAAAACAGTATTATAAAGATGCTCTATAAACCATTATTTTTAGTATGTCAAAAGTCTTCCTAAAAGTGTTACTCATTTGTTATGTTATAGTGATCAATGTGGGGGCCAGAACAAGAACAAAAATATTGCGAAGTTGTTTATGTATTTAGTCCAATCTACTAGCCTGGAAAATATAGATCACAAGTTGTTTGAAATTAGACATTCATATATAGACTGCGATCGCTCTTTTGCCCGCATTGAGAAAACTATTAACCGTTTTTGTTCCAGGGGACTGGACTGAAGTTATAAAAAAAAACATCTAAAAAATTCACTGTTTATGAAATGAAAAAAACTGATTTTGTTTCATTTCAACATCTTAACAGTATAATGATTGACCCAAGAAAGGACGTTGAAAAGAAACCGATAAAGTGGCGTGAGATAGTCTGGTTCCAATTCAAAAAAGAGTCTTTCTTTTCTTTTTTGTATAGTAAAGTAAGAACACCTTTTGTTCCTATGTGTCAAAGCGAGAATTGCTCGACGCTTAAATGGGGAAGACCATCTTTGTTGCTAAATAATGAAGTATTCAAGCCCTTATATCCAACTTCATTGAAGATTCCGTACATAAAATGGGAAAATCTAACCAAACTTCTACCATTTATTCCACCTATTCACCATGACTTTTATTTAACTATCCTCCATGAGGCAAAAGCAAACAAAAGTTCCAAAAAACAATCAGACGACGGTTATGGTTGAAGTTGAGGAAAATCCAGAAATGGCTGAAGGCAACGACAGTGTGGTGTCGGATTACGAAAATTAGAATTATTTGGCTAAAGTTCTTGTTGTAATTTTTGATACCTTTTTTGTATAATAAAATGTTAGTTATTTCTATAAAAAATCGACTTATACCTTTTTTTCCTGACAGAAATTGATGAAAGTTGTCAGAAGCATATGGATCCAAGTGACATAAAACTAGTTAAATACAGTTTTTTTCAGTCTGTGGCAAACGGTATATGAAATAGTTACGTGAACTGCATTCTTTTACGCAACAATCATTTCAAATGCGTTCATGCAGAATTTACAATAGGCAATCAACTTTAACTTTAATTATCTCAAAACAATGCCAGATGTACTTTTAGACCCTTATGATTCTAACCCCTTCAATTATTTTACAAAATTTGATTTTGAAATATTTTTTTTTCAGGAAATGATTTTTCCAACAGCGGCGATTTCGGCAATAGCAGCTACACCGAGGATAGATTCTGATAATAAGTATCAGTATAACCCTTTGGTAAAGGTAAGGAGATACATTATTGGACCTTTTTTGGATATAATTAGGTTCAATTATTTCAGGTGCCAGAACCTGTAACGCCAGTACTGAAAAGTAAGTATATTTCTGTTTATTAATTATTAAGGTGTTAACAGGGCTTTCGTTATTCTTGTTTGGGTTATGTATATTATGATTATATATTATCAATTTTTATATCAACATAGGACCCATTCTGCTTTGTTTCGAAGCTACAAGGCGTTTTTTTTTCGATTTATTATAACTTTCTTCCAAGTGCCTTTAAAGATTCGAATGTAATTTTGAGGGTAAAAGTTACTATAAGTGCTACATATTTTAATGCTAAAAAAGTGTCTACAGATTCACCTGGGACGTTCATATGGTTTATCACTGAAATTATACAGGGTGGTCCTTAATGACATGCTAATATTTAAGGGTGTGATTCTTGGACCTATTCTAAGAGAAAATCGTCATATGAATGTATATCCTAAACATCTTAACTTCTGAGATACAGGGTGGTAAAATTTTATAATTTTTTTTTTCATGACAACTATGATTTTATTATATGTAGATATCTTTGTAAAACTTGATACGTGTCTTCTATGGATCAAAATACCTTTTTGGTGTACAGGGTGGTCGAAATTGGTCTGTTTTAACAGAGAAAACCTATTTTCTCACTAGATAGAGCAAAACCGACGTAGATGTCATGGGTTCGATTTTTAAGACACGTTTAATGGCAAAACCACCTGTTGATATTTTCACTGCCAACTGATATACGGGGGTCTTTTTTTGAATTTTTTACCATTTTGGAAATTGCCTATAACTTGTTTATTTCGCCGAATAATAAAATTCTGTAAAAACGTTCTTAAAGCACTTTTTAAGCACAATCCAGCGGTCTAGTCAGTTTTTTCTATACTTGCTCTTTTTGTCAGAAATAATAAAAATATAATTATTTAAATGGAAATCATAGTTGGCTATGAACTTAAAAAATGCTGATGTTTAACCCTTTCCAACGATATACAGTCATGGGTATTTATTTCTAAGAATGAGAGAAATATTAGAGTTTTTTTTTTTGTATCGAAGGGCCTTGATTTTGTGTTGACCTAGTTGCCTAATTATTTTTTATCGCAATTTAATATTCTATTTTATTATTTATCTGCAAAATTAAAGACTTTTGAAAAGATAAATCGACATTCTTTATTAGTTTTGCTAATTACAATTAAAACGCCATTAAATGGAGAATTTAGGGAGAATCGGATTGGAACAAGGGGCCCCCATATCTTGGCCTGCTAGGTCCTGTGATTTAATTTCTTTCGACTTTTTATGGGGGAAATTATAATAAAATAGTCGTATATAGCTTTTAACGCCTTGGAACTAGCAACAGAAATTAAAACATTTTATAATATATAAGGGAAGAATCATTGGACGAGAGAAGAATTGCAGCAGGCTACTAGGCAAGCTTTTGGACTTATTACACCAGTTCGCCTAATAAATCGCTGTAACTTTGTGCGCAAAAGATGTTTATTATACATATATATTCAACGAGAAGATGCTCAGTTTCAACATCTTAGATGAGTTTTTTTAGAAAACTATATTCGTCAGTCAAAAAATACATTTTTTGACTGACCCCTTTTGTTCTTTGTTTATTGTATCGATTTCAATTTATAATTACTAAAATTATTATAGAATGTTAATTTACCTTTTCAAAAGTCTTTAATTATGCAGATTAATAATATAGAATATTAAACTGTGATAAAAAATAATTAGACAACTAGGTCAACACAAAATCAAGGCACACTTCGATACAAAGATGAGAAACCTATTATTTCTCTCATTCTTAGAAATAGGTATCCATAACTTTATATCGTTCGAAATGGTTAAACACCAGCATTTTTTTAAGTTCATAGCCAACTATGATTTCCATTTAAAAAATTATATTTTTTATTATTTCTGAGAAAAAGAGCAAGCATAGAAAAAATCTCACTACGCCATTGGATTGTGCTTAAAAAAGTGCCTTAAAAACGTCTTTACAGAATTTTAATATTCCGCGAAATAAAAAAGTTATGGGCAATTTTCAAAATGGTAAAAAATTCAAAAAGACCCCGTATCTCAGTTGGCAGTGAAAATATCAACAGGCGGTTTATGCCATTAAACTTGTCTCAGAAATCGAGCCCATGACATCTATGTCGGTTTAGCTCTATCTAGTCAGGAAATAGGTTTTCTCTGTTAAAACAGAACAGTGCCTGTGTCGTCTATACGGGTTTTACATTGAATATTTTTGGAGAAAAAAGTGGTATACCACTGACTTCTTTTAAAATAAAATTATTTTCAAAATCTCCATTCGTTTCTAAACATTTTTACCTCCTCATATTTTTTGTCCGGCACATAGTTTTTGCTTAAAAAAATTAAAGTCAGTTTACTTCAGGGTCAATCGCTGAAAATCTGATGTATACAATGACTTGTATCGAAATAATTTCTTCATCGACTGGGGAGGAAATGAAGAAATAAAACATTTTTTTATATCAAAATAAGCATTTTGATGCATGGAAGACGTGTATCAAATATAACACCAGAGATATTTCGAAAAAAAAATAGAAAATTGTACCACCCTGTATTTAAGAAAAACTGTGCACTACTGATTTTTAGCCGTATGGTAGGCTATTAGGATCGGCAAAAAAAAGTTTTTTTAATTTTACTCAAAATGAGTTACTTGGGTCATAAATGACCTAAATACAAAATATTTTCATGGTGTCTGTCTGTCTGTCTGTCTGTCTATCTCTCCGTCTGTAACACGATAACTCAAAAACCGCTGAACCGAGTTTAACCAAATTTGGCACAAAAATACTGTGGCATCCGAGAATCTGGCCATTAGTTTTTGGTGGGGGTGGGGGGTTGGTAACGGGGTATGGGAGGGGGTTAAACATTTTAAAAAATCGTAACTCCAAAATTAAAGTAGCTAGCGAAACGCGGTTTTCAAATTAAGATTAGGAATAATATTTGAAACAAAATCCATACATATATAAAAGCTCAAAGGGTTTTTTTGTTACATCCATCCCGCCGAAACTGCTTTACCAATCTTGATGATTCTTTTTTTAAATGAAAGGTATATATGTCTAGATTTGTTATGAGGTATTTTTAAATTGTTCAATGGCTATTTTTTGTGTAAATCGACTAAATATTAAAACATACCTGAAAAACACCTACACACAATACCTCCAGAAATAAATTATGTCATTGTCAGTGGTTTGTCAGTGAGATTATATTATATCAAGTTTTTAGATATTTTAGGGATCAGTTCATACAGCCAGCTTTAGATACATAAATATTAGAACAAAGGTTCGTTTAAACGACACTAGTGAATTGGCTACACAAAGCGATTTTAGGAAATTCATCCTCTTAGAGAGTAAAATTATGTCGGAACAATTTGTTGTATGAAAATTCCTTACTATGTGGTCTAGAAGAATGAAATCCTACAAAAAGAATTAGAAGAGATTTTTGAAATTCATCAACCAAAAGGGTAAAGTTAGTAAAAATTTATATAAAACTTTACTATACTATACCAGAAAATATCTCAATTTTAAAGCATGTTTTTAAACTATTAGTGGAAAATCGCTTGACTTTGAGAATAGATAAATGTACTTTTTTATATACTGAGATAAAATATTTAGGATATATTACACAGGCCGACAAAAAAAAAATTTTTCGATGTAACACAAAGCTCAATAGGATATTGTGGTAGAATGAACCTATCTAATCACGAAAGTGGCAAAAAAAAAGTCGTAACACGTAAGGTTTTTTTGTTACATTAATAAAACATCATTCAATAGTACAATATTCAATATATTAAGATAGCTATTCAAAACATGATTTAAGAACTTCTTAAGCCTATATACCGATTATATTTTATAGTTTACACTCCTCAAACATTGGCTAATTTGGTTTCATTGGCTAACAGATTCCATTCCTTAAGCCGGGATCCAAGAAGTTCTGACTGCTGCTTTGATAACCCCAAGTCACGCACTAAGTCATTCAACTCGCTTTGAACAATCAAATGTGGCTTGTCGGAACCGCCCTCTGGGGTAAAGGTAGGATCAGTACACTGGTCTCCAGAGCTGTTTGATTCAATATCTTCCTTATCTTCCAAAACAATACCTTGCCAGTCTAAGGGCGCGATCGGCACTGGGAGATCTGCACCATGAAGAACAGGTCGTATGGCAGACGGCAAATTGGGATACTCGATCTTGTGCTTTTGTTTTTTGGAAAAACCTTCAGTTTTCGTCAGGCAAAAATAGCAATCGTCAAAATGGTTAGTTGGTTCTCGCCATACCATTGGAACCGCAAATGGCATTTTTTTTCCTCTTCCCTTTCATCCACTGCACAAGCGACACGCTACAAGTAACGCAGCACACATGAGGAGCCCACTGCTTGTCTTGATCTCCAACCAAAACTCCAAAATACTTGAAGTAGGCTTTCTTCACATTTTCAGAAAATGGTCTGGCTTGTGATTGCACCATAAATTCTCCACAAATGTAACAAAATCGATCAGGAGACACTTTACAACTGCGGCGCGTTTGACTTGACATTTTCGTACTATTTATCTACACGCATAGAACAACTCACGTCGAAAATCAACTGAAAACTGAACTCTCTTATGTTTTTCACAATATATTATAGTGCACAAAATGCGTCCCTTTCAATCATCCCATCATAAAATTTACCTGTATGTAAACGAATCTACCTAGACTTAATACCTGACATCTATAAAATTGACTACCTGCAAAAAAGAGGCGTAATTAGGCAACTGAAAAGTGGTACGTGTAGGAGCTTCAGGAGTATTTTTTCTGTTATTAGAAGCATATTTTTATGAAGAAATTCTGCAACTGACTCGTGTTACAAAAATCATGTCGGCCTGTGTTATTAATGAAAAAGAAATTCGTCCGAATGATGAGCATTTATTAGCAATTAAAAATTACCCAGTGCCAAAAAATGTAAAACAGGTTCAAAGTTTCATTGGTTTGACCTCTTACTTTCGAAAATTTGTTCCAAATTTCTCAACCATTGCTGGCCCATTATATAATTTAACTAAAAAAAACAGTAAA